TAAATCTATTTTTATTCAGCAGGAAATCAATTTTCGTTAAAAATACTCAATCGTCCGGTAAATTTCCGCAATTCCGAGTTGGAGAATTTTAAATTTGATTTTAGTTTTCGTATATTTTACATAATTTTGAAGCTAGTTTCAGATATTCTTTTTCATAAAAATCCAAAAACTCTTGAATTTGTTCCAAACTTGGCACAAATTTTTTTTGGTTATTATCATTACTTCGATTTTTGACACAATTATTACAACACTGAAAAAAATTCGACAATTTTTTCTCGATTATTTTCTTGAAAAATAAGATATTAAAAACTCGATTTTCTTGACTTTTTCAAGCGACTATTGTTGAACCATCAAATGGATCATTGTTTTAAAAAAGTGCCTTTTGTTGAGTCAAGTTTGAAAAAATAAATTAATTTTTTTTTTTGAATATGAATTGTAAAAATGCTTGACTCAATATTAAGTCAAAATGTCATTTTCTAAACTTATAATCGCCTGTTAAATACGGCATAACAGATTAAAATGCTCTACGATGAGTAGTTTTTAAGATATTGAGTAGTAAAGTTTCAATTCTTCACAAAAAACAAGCGTTTTTTTGCTTTCATAAAATGATAATTACTAAAAACTAAAGTGCTATAAAACAGTTTACAGTTTCAACACACATTTAGGTAACGTTTAAAGTGGGCCAGTTTCAAACACCATTCGTCGTAGAGCATTTTAACTGTTTGTTTTTCTTTTTTCTCTAATAATTAATATTTTGTCAAATTTATCTCACATGTCTGTAAATTTCTTCATCTACTTTCAATAATTTTCTGAAATAGACGTCTAATAAGTAATAAAAAACAATTCTCTAACAAAATTCAAATGAGTTTTATATTCAGCAATGTTGAACATGTTCAATCCTCGGGTGAATTTCCACAATTCCGGGTTACCGGAGCCTCCAGACTGGGCTTGTAGACAAATTGTTTGAGAATTTCAAATTTGATTTTAGTTTTTGGGTATTTTACATAATTTTGAAGCTAGTTAATTTCCAAAAACTCTTCCAAACTTGGCACAAATTTTTTTGGTTATTATCATTACTTCGATTTTTGACAAAATTATTACA